ATGCATAATATCTTTTGTTTTTAATTAAAGAGTTGTAGTTAAATAATAATGTTTTGTTTAGATTGGGAAAGTCCTTCAATCGAATGTCCGTCTCCTATACAAGTATACACAGATGATGGATCAAGATTCGCCTTTGTAACATGGAACATCACACTCAATGATAATATTGCAATCGTTCATTGTATGTCAAACGACTCTCGTGTTGCGCCGGCTAATATTACACTAAATCACAAAAATATCACCCTAGAACAGAATGGCTCACTTTCTATTGGTACAAATCTAGTGGAATATGTGGTAACAGACATGTCTGGAAACATAGGAACATGTTTGCTTACAGTCACTGTCATAGGTAAGGTTAGTGTTGAGTGTTTTGTGCTTTTGTTGTGCCTACACTATGTTATCGACTAGCAGTTAACCCTGTTAGATCGTGTAAATCAGGTATGGAGGAATGATGGGATGAGTCATGAGCTAAAGATAAATATGAATATATAAGACCCTTTCCTCAGAAGCTCACTAAAATGTCACAGTAAACAACACCCCACATTTCCTGATAACCGAGTCCCCCATGTGGATACTTTATTAGTAAACTAGTAAGGCAGTATAGAGCATAAACGCACGCTATCGCTGGGGGCCTATGTGTTCTGTAACCTGTTGGGCCTTTTTTTTTTTACATGTGTCGGTTATGACATGAACATATGAAACAATGGAAACTCAAGTCCATATACATAGGAACATTATTCATGTTAACTAGATAAACATGGTACCCAAGAACAAAGAACAAAGAATGAAAATGACGAGTATATTTCTGTCTCATTAAGGACCATTTTCTATCTCATAAAACATACGATTCAACAGGATAATAATCATTTCAACATGTACAGTCATGATCGAATGAAATTAAATTCAACTAAAAGAGCAAATTTTATGCAACAATTGATACAAATGTTTTTATCACGTGAGCTTCAACTGATTATCATACTCTGGGTTTTTTAAGCAAACCCCATAATATATTGATGTTAATATTTTTACGTTCTATATCTATTTCAACATTTCCAAGTAGGCTTAGATGTCACGAGCGCACAGAGTAGAAGAATCTATTTCACAAATATATTTTTGTTTTCTATCTTATTTCAGACAACGAAAGGCCATCGATAATTTGCCCCAGAAATTTTTCAAATTACTACGACCACATATTTGATTTCCATCGCCTTGTTTCCGATCACGGTCGGCCCTACGCGACAGTCACATGGTCTCCTCCGGAGGTATACGACAACAGTCAAGAGTCTGTCACGTGGGAAAGCTTTCCGTATACATCAGGTGATATGTTTCCTCTTCGAGAGTTCCCGCCATACAATGTGAAATTTACTGCATCAGATCAGTTTGGCAATAACAGATCCTGCTACGTATATTTTACAGTAATAGGTAAGCAACTTTCAATTAAAGAAGACCTACTAAAACTATTGAATTTTATTCTGAATTTTATTGCCACTACTTCTTACAAATCACTGAATAATTAATAATGTTTGTATGTATACTTTGCGAATACTTATTATCAACACTAATAAGCAAAACTACTTTTGTGAATATTATCATTCATCCAGGTAGGTTGGTTATTGTAATTAAATCGAATTAATATTTTCTACCAGAATTACCGGTACTTATTTTATGTTGCAAAATATTACATTCAATCCCAAAGACAAACAGCAAGGAAAATCAAAGCAACATTGTTTATGCAATGCAATACCAAGACGGTAAATGTCAGAAACAAAACAGTCTCTACGCGCATGTACCAACATCGTCGAGAAGGCTCATATTGTGAGAATTCACCTGTGCTCACACACAACACTAGTCATTCATTTATGAACAAGGATATTGACATTTTGGATAAGAAATTAGATAGTAAGATGGGAGGGGATTTAAAGATCTATTTTATCTGAAGTCATAGGTCAATAAAATTTAGCCACAGAAGACCAGCCGGCCTGATAATGCGTCATGAATAGGACGTGAAATATTAACACATAAAAAGTAGGTCCAATAGAAGAGATTTATTAGTTTTAATTATTATTTATATTTGTTCATGTTTTCTTACAATTCAGACATTGAACCACCGATTATTACATGTCCAACAAACATTACAAACTACCAAGACACGTACTACGGCATTATCAGAACCGCAATTGATCCGGGTTCCTCTACGAGCACAGTCACTTGGGATTACCCTACTGTATCTGACAACAGCGAGGGTCAAGTGAATGTAACGTCATCTTACCAATCCGGCGAAAGTTTTCCGGCAAAGTTCTATCCTCCCTATGAAGTGGAGTACATTGCCGAAGATGAGTGGGGAAACAGGAATTCCTGCAAATTTTACTTCCTCGTCACAGGCAAGTTTTCTAGTGGCTTAGTTAACTAGGGTTTTACAATTATCTATGTAGTAGACATTACATATTGATTATGACATCCTTTGTGATAATTCTCTCTTTGTTTTAGAAAAGGCAAATACTTCAATAGAATCGTTATGATATTTGACTTATTCATTGCTGATTTATTTTCTGACTTGTTTTGTTAAAGTTTTATATATAACAATGTGATAAATAATACTAAATCATATTTCTATATTTCACCATTACTGGTAATTATTCTTATATGCCTGGTATTAATTTTGAGCCAAAATGGTTAATCAAGGGTTTAATCTGTGTACTTATAACATTACCATGTTTTATTACGTTTTTAAATCGAAGTTGAAAATTTACAATAATTTTAATTGTAATAGTTAGAATAATTCCACCACTGATATGTTACTAAATATAGGCCTTCTATTACAGTGTCATTATAATACTAGACTCCATGTAACATCATGAAATTTACTTCGTAATTGAATATAAATAAGTAAATGCAATTTACTTTTATATAATTATATAATAAAGAGCTATTAAATATTTGGGCCTTAAGACAATCGTTGTCTGTTTTGTTTTGTTAATAGAACTTTAACTTCTGTTGAGGCCCTGGCTTCAAATGGCCAAAATGGTGCCACCCAACACATTGTACTGTATTGCAACATAAACAGCAGCCATGTATTGCAATGGCGAATCCAGGATTTGATAGAGGGGGTTCAAAATGTTTCAAAAAATCCCAAATTGAATGGGGTCCGAGGGTCCTCCCACGGAAAATTTTGATTCCTAGATGAGCTTTCCCGACTTCTGAGGTGTCTTTTAATGACCTTTAAATTCTTCAAAATTCATGGTTTTCACCCTCTTTAAAAAGGTCAGGTAATCTTATTATTCTTTAGTCTACACTTAGAGAAAATCAAAGACATAGCAATATATTATTATACTCCAACAATATTGAGTAGTTGGATAAGTTGTCTTTCTTCCATATATCGATGAACATCGATAGGCATGAAGAACGCACTTCGTATACATAAATTATTACGACGTCGAACCAAAAACAGTATTTTAAATTTTATTTACTTGAAGGCTAGTTAGGCTAAGCCTAGTTCGTCCGATCTGCCAACCTATCCTTAGGTAGGTAGGTAAGCATGCATTTTGTAAGCCAGAAGTAGTATTTTGTTACTTTTCTTCCAAGAGGGGGTCGTCCGAACCCCCTGAACCCCCACACTGGATCCGCCACTGTATTGTATTTTACAACCGTACGACAGAGACTGCAACGTTAAAACACAGATATTCACATTGAAAAAAGACAGAAATCGAGCATAGTATCCATACATCATCGAACACGACGTTGCAACACAGGCTGCACAACATTCCTTTACAAACAGCAACATTAAACCACCTCAGACAGCAACATCTGAATGAAGACAGCATCATTAGAAAAAAAGACTACAACTGTGCTTCGTAAAAACATCTGTACATTACCAACTATAACGTAGCATCACAATCTGCAACATTGCCTTATAACTGTAAAATTCCATCAGACTGTAACACTAGAACGAAGACGGAAACATTTTAACAGAGAAATCAATCGTGCATCAAACGTTACAACCGTACGGTATAGATTGTACCCGTACGTTACACTACAACCATACCTATACTGCAACACTATCTTCACAAATTGAATCTTTGCACCTTTCAATGAATACCGCATAGTACAGTGGTTAAAATAGTGAGATGATGGCTACTTAAAAATGGTATAAAATTTAATGAGAATTAAATTGTCTATTAAAACCAAAGTTTGAGTGAGGAGCAATAAAAAGTGGCTACAAAAGAGAAAAAACATGTGGTGATACAATAGATAGTAAACAAGCAAAGCACAGTCAGGACATCAAATTTGATATTTTCTGACTTCTTCTTTGATTTCTTAAAAATGTTTTAACGTTTGACATTATTCTGATTTCTGGAAACACGTCATATGTGGTAGACCAAACGTAAGGTAGGCCTAGTCTGAAATAAAGTCTTTGGCTCGTATACCTATTTTGGGCAATGTGAATTCTTCAGGGATTACCATTAAAAATACAGCTATTATGCAATCATTCTTGCAGACAATAATCCGCCCAAGTTTCGGTGCCCGAGATCTGTCAGAGCTAAAAGTCAGACGGGCATGAACAGCAGTTTAGTAAGTTGGCAGATTGTTGTAAGTGATATTGAACTGATTTCGCTGGTTGAAGCAAACCACGATGCAGTAATGCCATCTCGTTTGGAACCATTTAAAAGAGAGGTTAATTTAGCAGCATCTGCTCTTCTTCCCATTGGCATCACGATTATCGAGTATAGATTTGAGGATTCATCAAATAATGTTGCATTCTGTAGGTTTCATGTTGAGATTTCAGGTAAATATACTCTTCGTTATTTGCCATATACATGTAAAATCTATCAGTTATTCAATGAATCTTACAATGTGTTAAAAACAGATCATAGTGTATTTCTTATTTACAGAATATGATAGTGAGGTAACTTCCTATAGCGGAACAGTGAATGGAAATACTATTACATCTACTGTTACGGCTGCTTCATCAACTTTGTTTACAGTAATCAACAGGGATGATTATGACGAAAATGAAAACATGAAAACTTCTGCACTGGCATCGACATCTTTATTATCATCCCAAATGTCAACGTCATTACCATCGCCGACATTATTATCATCGTCAAAATCATCCTCTTCCTTATTACTTTCACAATTACCTTCCTCATTATCATCATCATCAACAACAACATCAACATCGTCATCATTATCATTATCGTCGTCACCATCATCTTCATCACCATTATTTTCACTTTCACCTTTTTTTCCCTCGTTCTTATCATCATCATCATCATCATCATCATCATCATCATCACCACCACCACCACCACAATTATCACAATCGTCGCCTTCGTCGTCATCATTATCATTGGTATTCACATCATTATCATCTTCATCTTCGTACTCATTAAAGTCACCATCACCAACAACATCCTCATACTCATCCGTATCCCTCTCGTCGTCGTCTTTATCATCATCATCATCATCACCACCAGCAATAACATCATCAACAGCAACATCATCATCATCAACAGCAACATCATCAGCATCATCATCATCATCACCACCACCACCATCACCTCCACCACCATTATCACAATCGTCGTCGTCATCATCATTGGCAATCACACCATTATCATCATCAACATCATCATCAGCAGCATCATCATCATCATCATCAACAACAACATCATTATCATCATTAGGCATACCAACAACACAATCTTCATCCTCATTACCATCTACATCGTTTTCATTTCAAAGTGTTACTGACACTGTCTTTAACACATTGTATTTTACTACGCAAGTTGAAACAGTTGATACTAGTGGCCAAGAAACCTTAATAAATGACCAGGAAAAAGTTGACCAGCTGTCAACTGACCAACAGCTTACTGATGTATATCACTCACCAGATCCACAACCAACTGGTTTTATTGATAGACAACCACAGGATGAGCATTACACTTACCATCAACAGAATGGAAAAAATCAAACAAATGCAGGTTCAACAGCTCAACGACCACCAATGGAACAAACGACAACTAATCGACGGCTAACTAAGCAGAATCAGGATTCATCCAGACAACAACCAACTCACCAGCCAACAATAAACATTACGTTTTTTGAGCAGCTATCAACTGAAGTGACTGTTGATAGTGAACAGTTTTCTACTACAGCAGAGAGTAGAGATTCAAGATTGCAAACTGAAAATGTTGATCTTACATCACTTCCAACTGAACAAAACGAAGTATCAACTACAAGCAATCCATATGGAACGACGGAAGATGATTTATACAACCCCACTTCACTCTATAACCTTATGACATCACGTCCTGCAGTTGGATCCAAACATGCTAACATCACTGGTAAATATTACTTTCTCTTGTAAAAATATTTACTATACAACATAATTGTACTAATGTGGTGTTATTTTTAAATAATTTTTTTCTTTTCATTTAAAAAAAATTAATGTTCATTATTTAAAATGCCTTTTTATATTTGCTTATTTTAAATATTTTAAATAAATTTGTGTAAAATCATTGGTTTGAATAAAGGAAAATGCAATTGTACAATCTATTTTCATATTAAAATGGTAATATTCGCATAACATTAATATATACATTTTGAGGTTTAAAATACGATACATTATACTTCAATATGATGTTGGTAAAACAGGCAGCATCCAAGTAACTAAAATTTTAGAAAGTACTGCCGTACCTCTTGAGTCATGGATTAGTATACCACAGAATGAACTAAATGTTATAAAATAATAATATTTATTGACATTACACTTTTACATCAGTGGCAGCACACAAGAAAATGGCGCAGTCACTATAAATCGCGGGTATTATTTATACTGCATAAAAGGCCCTGGTTTTAATACGCATAGTAGACTGGGAGATTAATGTTTAAGAATGTTTGTTTTTCTAATCCGAATGGTTGTTAACAATGAACATATCATCGTTTACATTGTTTTCTAAAATTTACTGACAGGTATTTTCTTACAGGTACCGCCGTTGTTACCATAGTGATAATATGTTTCTGTATATTAGGAGGTTTATCATTCATTGCCGTTATCACCATCATCATTATCAAAAGGAAACAGGTTGATAAATCGGCTACTACTAACCATCATTTTTCAGTAAGCCTATAATTTTAGAAACAAATGTTACAGTTACTTAATTATTTTAAGATAACTTAAAAAGAAATAGATTGTAGGGTTATTAAGTTTTCGGTATATATATTAATTTAATTTAATATTTGTTTCATTGTGATATAAAACTCTGTATAGATAAATTTCATAGCTGTAAATATAAGTTCACTGGTGTAATATCTACGTGTAACTTAATAATAGTTAGCTATAAAATCATGATTTAAATCAAATGGTATACGTGGTACCACATGGTCTACGTTACACATTTTGACTATAGGGCATAATATTGTAACACTTATCTGTATTCACTATTATACAAATGCTGCATCTTGTTTCTAATTGAAAAACAAAATAATACAAAACAATACTATACTTTTTTTTACATAGAATGCTCGTGGATTAGACTTCGAAAACCCAGCATATAAAATATATGATTTACAAAACTTAGATAAAGAGTATGGTGTGTCAAGAACGGAAGACGGTCTTCCCAACTTTAAAGACAGCAAGTTGTGAAACGTAATCAAGAAATGATAGTATATCATCAGCTTTATATACAGGGCATGAATTATTTTAAACATCTTTTTTAGTGTTATATCCTCAATTCTAATAATTCTATTTCTACATAATCATAAAGTACATAATATAATTATGATATAGCTACAAAATTAATAAAATATAGAAACCCCTGAAAACATTAATATGTCCTTTAAAATAATCTATCGATTAATTTATTAACCTCTAATGATAAACAAAGTTATTTTTCCCCATATAGGCCTACAAGCCATCATAAATGCAAAAAATGATCACCAGCCATTAAGGAACCTCAACAGCCCATACTAAAGATTAGGAACATTTTTAAATAGGACGGAGTAAGCAATCTTAATTATTATTGAAGCCAGGTTTCCATAAAAAAAAACACGTTACGGTATAAGCTATGTGTGGACACTTTTACCTCTCTTTCAGTAATATTCATCAGTAGCATGTTTATCGTGAATGAAACGATCTTTGTATGGAGTTGACTTTTCCTTAATAAGTTAATACTATACTTGGTCTATATATGTACCGTTAAGAGTACTTTGTTATCTGGTTTGGTTTATAAAGGGATTCTAAAATTTTGAATATAGCATTGACATGTAAGGTTTATTTTTGCTATTTCGAAATTAGAAAGTTATAGTGCATTGTCGATTGGTAGGTGGAAATACCCATCGACTTTGAAAAATACCCATCAACACTTAAATAACACCAGCAAGTAAAATTTATCGATTAATAAATACTCATATAAAATGTCTGTATTGTTTCAATTAATGTCTTGTTTAAGCTAGTTTAAGTTTTATCAATGTGTATTTCCGAAATCAATTCTTTACAGCCATACCACACTTTCAGGAACTTCACATTGCACATGAAAGCATGCCCTGCGATCATCTACAGATATAGACTGTGACAAGCTGCATTCTCTTGTAGTTGTCTTTTAATACGAGCTAAATATTAATCGGGAGGGATGGTTGAATTGAAATTTATTAGATACTCCAACACACAAAAATAACAACATAGACAAGGTTGGACAAAGCTAAAATAAAAACGATTAGAAAATGCAATAAAAACCAATAAAACCAGACTGAATGGAGAGCTGGGATAGCCTATAAAGATAGTAAATGCCAGCCATTTTCAATGAGATCCCAAAAAAAAACAAAAAAAAAACAAAAAAAAAACAAAAAAAAAAAAAAAAACGACATTGACAACAGCAAAAAAAAAAAAAGTTTTTTAGTTTAGAATTTATAAAGTAAAACCGTGGTAAAGCATTTCTAATTCGTTCAAACTCAATAGGTTATCTCTCAATATGGCCAAGACTACAATATTTTGGTTGTAAAAGGAAACATTCTGAAAACGTCCGTATCCTCCTAATTGATGATAATGAAATATTGCGTTCAGAGGTAGGGTAAAATAAAGTGTTTGGGAGAACTGGAGCGAATTGTCAGTCAAGACCAAGCCTTGACTGTTTCGGCTTGGCTGGGGAATTGACACTCCTAATTTCGGATCCCGTGTGTGGATCCCGTGTGCCATTTAGAATGGATTAAAAATGCAAATTAAATAAAGGCCTACTAATGTATATTCTCCAAAAAATGCTAAAACCAGCTACAAACCTTATTGTTTAAAGTAAAATAGATTGAAAATAAATAGAATAATTACATATAACAATACAAGGTACAATAAAGAAAACAATCTTATTGCAGCTGCAACATAGAGGGTGTTAATTTAAAAATTTAAAAATAGTAATAATAGCGCTTGGTATTAATGGGATGAGGAAATACAAGGAGAAAGGCAGCGTAATAATTGGGATAAGATGATCTATGAAAATAAGCGGGCACATATTAAGAAAATTATTAAAACCAACAAATCTATTGATTTAGCAAATAAAGGGGGTCGAAATTGTTGCGATTTTTAGAACTCTTAAAAGGTAGTATCGCAGTAAAATTATCTTTGCTGCTTAAGGACACCAGGTTTTAAAATCATAACCTCAGATAAGAAGGAAATGAATAACATAGCTTTTGATTATTGAAAAACACTGGGTGAAATTAATTAAAATACTCCGGGGTATTTGATGAACATACTAAACAAAATTAAAACTTGTATCACTTCTATTAAAACCACGTCAAATGAACTTCATGACAGTCATGGGTGTCTTTCAGATATGCAAATTAATTTTGATATTGTTTAGGCTGCCATTCTACACACTTATAACAATAAATCACCAGGTATATCAGATTATAATTTTCTGATGGTGAAAACTGCTTCACCAAGTCACTCAATATTAACAACATAGGCCTACTATAATTGCTCGTGAAAAGAAAAGCTATGATATTTTAGATGTTTAATCATATAAATACCTTAGTATCCATATTTCAAGAAGCATTTCAGACCATTTTCATTTTCAATGAAGGTATAGAATTATTGCCTACATTAAATCAATTATAGATCGTTTTGACAATAATAATAGAATTTGTTATGGTGACATTCTATGGAAAACCATTTTGCTCTAATTCTAACCTGTTAACCACAGCAGAAAAGATATGGACATACTGAAATCGCTCCAACCACAAATGATCCGATATATCTAAAAACTTCCAGAAATTCGCCAAAAAAAATCTATTATGGAGACATAGGTTGGGTGTCAATAAAGGTAAATCAAAACATACTTGAAGCCAAGTACATTAATTATCTAATGATTTTAGAGATAAATATAGACGACCAAACGTTATGTACACGTCCCCTCGCCTAAATACTTATTGTTGAGCCACGCTATAAACTGCTACTAAATTTATTAAGACGTGCACTGATATTTGATTAGACATTGGTTCAATTTTTGAAAATTCATGTTTTGGAGAAGAACCTGATTTATGTTGGTTTAACTGTTTTAAAGAGTTAATACATGATTCAAAAGTTTCTTTTTGGAACAGCGAAATGTGAAAATCATAACTTTTAGAATACTCTTCAATTAATTGCAGTCCGAATATGGAAAAATATTTACTAGACCAGACAGATTTTCCGGATGCAAGCCTAAAATTTAAACTTAGGTCAAATACTCTTCCATTAGGTCACTGGACCTTAAGTCGGACTTTTGGCTGCCACAGAATTTTTGTACTATACTGCTGTAAGCAGCAATGATGGCACTTGCCAAATCTGCAATAATGGTGGTTTTTATCTCCAGTGATCTATGTACAAAGTTAAATAATGTTCTTGGGAGATATGTGAATTAATTATAATGATGTCATAATGACGATGTTGATGATATTTTTAATAAATTGTGCAAATCATTATGAAAAGAGCATGGAAGCTTGTATTAATTTCGTAATGTGCAAATTGTTAAGGGACTGTCCAAGTACTTCAGTTCACAAGAGCACAGAATATACTCTGTGGTGAGAAGAGTGGGTCCCAAGTCTCCAGCAAATTGCGGCAATCTCCCGGAAATTGGAACGGTCTCCCGCAAGCAAATGGAAGTGGGGGCTAGGGGGCCATTGGACCCACCACTTTTTCTACTGGGGTGCCTTCGAACACTATACAATGGCCGTATTCGACTGGTCGTTCTTCGTTAAACCACGTCCACCTGCGCAGTGGTAAAATCCTATTTAACGAAGACGACCAGTCGAATAGAAAAACATGTAAATACTGGACAAAAAAAATGGCTGCATAGTTACCGCCATACACGCTGTGTAATCAAGATTGCTTCAGCTTGTGGCAGTATGGGTTTTTCCGTTAAAATAAATTTTTCATCCAGTTAGCCTACAATTATTTTTGAATTCATGTGGGTAAATATTATGATTTTTATTTTCTAAAATTTAATCTAAATTATATTAACGCAAATTTTGTTTCTAAACTCACCAATTAGCCATGTTTGCTTTGGTCATGTGGATAACTTAACGCCGATTAACGCACTCTGGTTTACGTTAATATTCGTTTTCACACGAAATCTATTTTACGAACCAGTCGAATGAAAATAATACTCAATGAAAATTCGTAGTCAACGAAATGAACCAGTCGAATACGCCCATTGTATTGCAGATAAACTTGCTGGCAGTGATCACCAGAACATGAACTCCCACCCTGAAGTTTCAGGGAAGAACCTGGAATTATTTCAATTTAATAGAGTATGTTGGTTCGCCTTTCGTTACAGTTAATGAGAACGATTTTGATGGTGGCCCAATTTATCCCTTGTTTTATGGATGGAACTAGGAAAAAAGTATTGACAGTCAACACACTTTCATGAGAACTGTTTCTTGATGAACAACAATCAAACGGATACATAAATTTAGTAAACGTGAAGAATACAAAAACAAAAATATATACTAATAATAATAATAATAATAATAATAATAATAATAATAATAATAATAATAATAATAATAATAATAATAATAATATGTGATAATAATATCAGATTAAGTGGGCCTAATATGTAAAATATTTCTAACACTGTTACGGGACATAGAGAAATTATCACTAAAATATCAATATCAGGATTCCTAAAAACAAGAGAATTATAAGCTAAGCTTAATCTACTAATAAAACCATTTTTAAGCAAGTCTACTTAAGGGAATATGAAAAGTAGGATTATTTCTACGACGACGACTGGGGACTCTAAGACTAAAATTACTTAACAAATCGGCAATCGAAAAAAGAATTAACACATTTATATAAAAAACAAGATCAAAAAACTGCCTACGGGACTCCGGAGATTGAATGTAAGGAATGTTATGGTTGTGGTTGTGGCTGATGTAGCGCAAGAACCGATTATGTAATCGATGAATACGTTCGTTTTGATTCAACTGTGTAGAATTTTCTGAAGTTGGTGGGGGGAGTGGCGTATGTAGGGGAGCGTGAGGGGGTGAGGAGGTAGCACACCCCTCCAAAAAAAAACTCTACCTACCTACCCTCAGTCGCCTTCC